TACAAATATATAACAATATATATATATGTACATACACGCAATTTATGTGCTTTAGATAATAAAGAATTATGCAATTCTGTTCCAAGTACAATATCTTCCAATTACCTTTAAGTTGTTAATCACAACACAAATTACAATTTATCACAATGTAATTTGATAAAATTATACAGAATGCCTAGGTCAATTTTATAAATTCAACGTGAAATAAATGTCTGTGGTTTCATATACGAACGATCGCTAATCAATCGCTAGCAAATTTTTTGCATTATCAACGATCGATAATCGAATTGATACAGTGCAACGCGCTATAATCTTTTAAGCAATGCATTATGCAATATTCATACGAACATTTGATCTTAATAAATAAATACTACGCTGCTTTGTTAGTTTATTATTGAACATGTGAGCTCATCCGCCTGACATTAACTCTACATTTTATAAACATAAACATCCTCTGTTTAGTACTATAAAAACTAATTATGCAATTCTTTTAACAAAGTAAAAAATTGTTAAATGAAAAACAGTATGATTTCGTGTGGAAGGTTTGTAAAAGAATTAATTAAATGTACAAAGCAACGGACAAGATGAAAATTATGTAAATGTAATTATATAAAAATCGTAGGCAGGATTAATTTGTCATACAACGATTAACACATTAATCTTAACGATCAATTAACATTTTTAGTACATATATAATTCCATCCTTGGAATCCGTTGCATTCGTATCGTAAGCGATCGCTCACCGCATGGATTATAACGTTACTTATGTTCAGGAAGCGTGTTATAAAATAAAAATGTAAGATTGTGATTCTCATTAACATCCTGAATTCTTTCCACAAGGAAGAAAATATGAAACGCTCACGTGCTACTAAAGGACAAGAGGCAAAGGTTGAAAAATAGTTACTTTGTAACGTAAATCTCGTTTACATCCTTTTCTATTTATCAACTAAGTCTACGCTTAAGCGCCACCTGTGCCAGCCAACATTTTTTCAAAGCGAACTTTAAAACCGTTTCATAAGCGTATTCACGGAATCCAACCTTCAACCATAGAACAAATCTAAAGAAATTACATCCCAGAGAAACGTGTGCATCAATTTATAATCGTGTATGAAACTCTAGGAAGAAAAACATTTCAGGTGGCACACGGTGTCGAAGATGGACACCGGATCGCTTTCCTGCGATAAATGATTAAACCAAGTCCCACCAACGACACGACACCACTGTTCGATTACTGTAAATAATCGAATTTGTAACGCACATAAAGATAAAAAGGGAAAGTCCATGATACGAGTAATCGAGGATGACAGGAGTCGATTCGAATCGAGCCTGAGTCACACGTCAATCGTAAGGAGGAACATAGAAGGACGATATAACCTCACCTCGTCACTGGTCTCGCCGTCCTTGCCGTTCTTTCCCTTGTCCTTGCTGATCTTCGTCGCATCCTGGAACAAAACGATTAAATTGCACTGTTTGTACACCGTTTATACAATGCCACGACAGCACGCGATTTACGTATCGAGACGCGGCCCGCTCGACGGAACTCGCACTTGCGATGTCACACGGAAACGACGGGAATTAGTTGAAGTACCATTGTCAGGTCGTTCAGACGGGGAAATGTGTCAGCGAAACGGATATCAAGAAACGCTACACCCTTCGGTGTCTCGGCTACCGGGGTTGTTTCCCCGAACTCTCTTTACTCTCCCTTCTTCCCTTTCTCTCCTATCTCTGTCATCGTCACCATCTATCTCTCTCTTTCTAACAGACTCATATACAGACGCACATACACACACTCCCGCTCTCTTTCTTTCTCTGGAGCGCGTGCGTGCCCGCGATCTCTCCTCCTCGTCACAAGGAACACTGTTTTCACGTACGCGAGCGTACCGATCGCATAAGGAGAGACGTACGAGCGGACAGGCGCGACAGGCGATATGATGAACGCACCTTTTCTTTTTTCGACTGTCTACTGGACATATTATCGGTCGAGGGTCAGGGATATACGCGTGATTGAGTTGAATAAGGACTAGTACACTTCAAAAACGCGTAGTAACGCATCGATCAGCGGCAACCGAGCCGACACGGGGCACTCATTCGCGGCGGCCATTGGCTATGCTTAGCCATTGAACTTTCGACCGGCGATTCGCGCCACTCACTAAGAACGTCGAGTTTCGACTTTTCCCTAGCCTTGAAAAGCTTCTTTCTGTACGCCCCTTTTATTTCTCAATTCAAATTTTCCCAATTGTTCTATTTTCACGTATAATGCTGCGTGCAAATGATATATTTTACGAGCACTATGCGGTTATGTTACAACATCTAAGAATCTGCGGTGCATCTATGCTATGTTTTATGATAACACAGGTTATAGTATCATTAATATGTTTGCAGTACTCAGTTGAACAAATCGCTATTAGGAATCGTAGTTTGATGGTTTATATGTTAAAAAAATGATAAATTGTAATTGTTAATAATATGAATAAAGTAAATTTTATTTAAATTCACTTACCTGGTTAAATGTAAAATTGTTAATAAAAGTATTAAATCAGGTAATTAATTGTACTGTTTTAAATACATTCAAAGGATATGCTTGAAGTTAGCGCTAATATTTATAATCATTAAAGGCATGCAGCATTTCGAAATTTCCTTATAGGTAATTTTTAATAAAGAAAGAAATCCCTATGTATTATGTAACATATTGTCTTAAAATTGAAAAATTTCATTGACGTAATTAAGTGCTATATTTTTAATGAAGTTTATATAGTAATTTATTTAGGTAAAAATAATTTTGTATAGTATCGATTAATTTTTTTATTCAAGCGCAATCATTTCATTGTACTTGTAATGTACTTCCTACACCAATATATAAAATAATAACATTTCTATTGTATTTTTAAATAAATTAAAAATTTGTATCTTAAGATCTTAGTAATTTAATGATACAAGGTTTGTTGCACTTCTTCGTCTAGGGACCCTAGATTAAAGAAGCAATTACACACGTGAATTATAATATTTTGATCAGTATGTTTTCCAGAAACTTAAGTAATGTTGGTTTTTGCTTGCAAATCTGCATTTAGCAGGTAAAAGTGTATATGAGACAAGTACATAAAAAGTGCAGAAAGATATAAATCAGTAATTTAATCTGATTTTATTCAAAATAGATTTTTTATACAAATCTGGTGTACAAATTACGTATAACCTAAAAATGACTGAAGATCAAAAAGAGATCATTGAAGAAAAAACGAAACCAATATTTCGTGATCTAACAGCCGATGATCCAGAACCCGAAGCGACAGAGATAGAAAGTCTCTGTGTGAATTGTGGCCGAAATGTATGTTATCGTGAGTTTACAATTTAAAAAACATGTACCTTCAATAATACCTAACCAATAAATTATTTTGTAAATACAGGGTGTTACTAGATTACTCTTGACAAAGATCCCATACTATAAAGATGTTGTGGTGATGTCCTTTGATTGTGAGCAATGTGGTTATCAGAACAATGAGATACAAAACAGTGGGAAAATTGCAGAAAAGGGAATTAGGATAACATTGCAAGTGAAATCATCCAAGGATCTGAACCGTCGAGCTGTTAAATCAGATTACACCAGTGTGAAAATCCCAGCCTTGGACTTTGAAATTCCTTCTAGATCACAAAAAGGAGAGATCACAACAGTTGAAGGAATTATACAAAGAGCCATCACTGGGTTGGAGCAAGATCAACCGGAAAGGAGAAAAAAGCATCCAAGTACTGCTGCCCAAATTGATCACTTTCTTGAGGAACTGCAAAAGCTCAAATCTATAGAAGAGCCCTTCGCTATGATATTTGAGGATATATCAGGAGAGTGTCATATAGAAAATCCAAATGCACCTTTGAAAGATGAAGGGTGCATTGTTGCTCAATTTAAGAGAACAATAGAACAAGATAGAACTTTAGGAATTTATTCTGAAAGTTCAGAAGACACTTTATTAAAACCTATAAAAGAAGGAGAATATACTTTGGAGCAAATTGAGGGTGAAGTTCTTTCATTTAGGACAAACTGTCCAGAATGCAATTGCCCCTGTGAAACTAACATGAAAATGACTAGTATCCTTTTCCTATATAATTAAAAATTACATATCTTCTTTAAATTATTTTATAATACTAAAATTCTCACAGCGATAAAATTATTTTTTCTTAATTCAATACATAGATATACCACACTTCAAAGAAGTGGTAATTATGGCAACAGTTTGCGAATCTTGTGGTCATAGAACGAACGAAGTTAAAAGCGGGGGTGGCATCGAGCCTACAGGGGTTAAAATTGAAGTAACGGTCGCGGGAAAAGACGACTTTAGCCGCGATTTATTAAAATCTGAAACTTGTCACATGCAAGTACCTGAATTGGAGCTGGAAATTGGCCCAGCTACTTTAGGTGGACGATTTACCACCGTAGAAGGCATTTTAATGGCAATTAAAGAACAATTATCATCATCAACTGCTTTTACTGGCGATAGTAGCGATCCTGAAACTGTACAAAAGATGGAAGATTTTATATCTCATTTAAGCGAAGTTTTAGAAGGGAGTCAAAAAGTTACTCTTGTACTAGACGATCCAGCGGGCAATAGTTACGTCCAGAGTCTTTCAGACGAAGGTTTAGATAGCGGGTTAAAGATCACCAAATACGAGAGAAGTTTTGATCAAAACGAGGAACTCGGATTGAACGATATGAAAGTCGAAGACTATTAATTATCCGTCGCAAAGATTTACGAAATAAGTCAGTGTCGACAATGTCAATACAATGTACCATATGTGAGCGTGAAATGGAAATGTATTATAAATGTACACTACACTGTGTAAATATATGTTTTGCAATTTTATTGCAAAATTTTTTAACGAGACACAAATTTCTATTGTTCTTCCATACGTTTAATAAATAGATATAAACTTAAACGACCGGTATGGCGTCGAGTTTCTTTAATTTGGGAAGTCTTCTGAGTGCCTGACTACGCCATGCGTCCACGTCCATGTTTTCACAAATCGGGTTATTTGTGAACAATAAATCCTCGAGATTTGGTATTTCTTGCAAACGATTAAATTCAGCCCAATCTTTAACCAAATTATTCGACATATACAAAACTTTGAGCGCTTTTAAAACGTTAACACCCTTAATTTTTTCAATCTGGTTATAGGATATCCATAATTCCTCTAAATGCTCCCCCACTGCTTCTAATCCAGAAAATGTTTTGATGTAATTGCGACCCAAAGACAGAATTCTTAAATTTTTTAAGGAATTGATACCACTGATCTTTTCTATCATATTCGTTGACAGGGATAATTTTCTAGAAAATTCAGTAAATTGTTTCTTTTAACACTATTGTTTAAAAAATTAATAGGTAAAAAATATAACTAACTCTACATTGGTAAGCGCTGCCAAATTATTATCCATTTTCTCGATAGGAGGCCACTGAAAAGACAAAACGATTTCTTTTTCCTGACTAGCGCTTAAACCTGTTTTTTCCTCCCATCGTTGAATCGCTTCTTTACAGGACATTGCCTTTGCCTATGTCATATATACATTATATATTTTAAAAAAATGAGAACTATCGCGTCGTTAAAAAATGCATACCATAATTGATAATCTCAATCTTCTGAGATTTAGAACCTTTATTAAATAAAGAAGATTTCTAAAGTTGTTCAGAGTATAAACAATGTACAATCGCAATTACTTTCGGTAAACTTCAGTTGTACAAAAATAGAAATTAATTTTTTCAAAAGAAATTGTAGGTTTATAAAGATTGACAGATATTAATTTGTCGGTCGAATTATAAATAATGTCGTTGAACGATGAATTATAACGAAAAATTTGACATAGATAAACCATTGTGGGATCAGTCTACTTATATAGGCAGAGTCAAACATTACTTTTTCATTAGCGAATTTAACACAGTCGTGAGTGAAAAAAAATTGTGGGAGGCTAAAAAATTTTGTGACGATTACAAGTAGGTCAATTCTAGTTGTTCAATGACTTAAAAATCTTAAGCGAGTGGAACATTTTTCTCAGAATGGGCAAAATACCTCCAGGAACGGACATGTCCGACATTATTCGAGCGAAACAACTTAGAGACAGTGCATTTCATCTAGAAACCGGCGAATTATTGCCTATGCTTGGTAGATTATCTTATCAGCTACCTGTATCGGTTATACTCACAACAGCAATGCTAACATTTCAAAAGTGCATTTCCAAAATGCTTTAATCATGACAAAACAAAATATTTTTTAAGAGAAATTTAGTAAATTCCTCCAATAATTATTACATCTATTTATTAGAAGCACCGCTGTCATGGTAGCATCCCAAATGATAAATCATATGCATAATGCCATTATAAATTACACGTACAGAATTCCAAGGGTTAGCGATGATAAAAATCAAATGAGAAATGCTTTTCTATGCGCAGTATTGGCTAGTACTATAATGACCGTAACTTGCAAAAAATTGTTGTATCAAAGGACACACTCTTATTCGGTTAGTTTCCGAGTTCTTCTTTACCGTATATTATGCATTCTGTTATAATTCTTTTGATACTTCCTTACCTTCAGAGATGCGTACCATTTTGCGGAGTGGCTATTGGTCACGTGGTAAATTTGCCAATTGTACGTTACAAAGATATCGCACTAGGTATGCCATTGTTCCTTAAAGATGAAAAGACACCTCTTATGAAATCGAAAGTGGCGGCTTTGAAAGGCACTACTGAATGTATTATCTCAAGAATACTTATGTCTCTACCATGTCTACTATTGGTCCCGGTCCTAACGCAAAAAATTATGACACCCTGTTTCTCTCAACGTCAACCATGGCTTTTGGCTTTCATTGAAACAAGCTTATGCGCTTTCTTGTAACTTTAAACCTTTGCTTTTGGTATTCTTACATTTAAAGAATTCTTTACTCAATGTGATTTATTTTTATAGCTGTGCTTACGCAGTTCCATTCATCATGGCGATTTTTCCCGAACGAAAGTAAGCAATTCTAGCATTTGTCTTCTCGTTAAAAAATATATCGAATAAGGTGTTTTAATTGCACAGTTCTATGAGTCCGACATTGTTGAAGCTGTACCCGGGCGAGTATGACAATTTTAAGGAACTTGTGAAAAAAGATGTAGATAAAGTGTATTATAATAAAGGATTGTAGTATACTTTTTTTTTAACGAATAAAGTGTAATACTGATGGTGAGAAAATAGATGTATTTAAGTAAAAAATTTCTATCCTTAGGTGATATAAATACAGCTAATGAACAATATCTACATTCTTTTTCTTTTTCTTCATTTTTATAGGCATAGGTCCTGGCATTTTGAATACTGTGCTGTAAAAACATGACAAACATAAATTCAGTTTAAATAATAAATAATTATGATAAATTGAAACATTGTTAAAGTACTTACTGACAGGTTGTGCATATTGGACTGAATTTACAAAATACTACAAAAGATTTGTTGCTCATTATTTTATATACACTTACATGATGATACACTAAAATAAATGTATTTTTCTTACTTGATAAACATATGGAGCATACATAGCCAATGTCAATTAATTCTTGATGGCAGAAGCATGCTGCACGGTAATCTACTTTCACAGGTGGTGGAAGTACCAATTTTGACCTAATATTTGGATCTGGTAAAAATATCCACTAAACAGAAAACAATATGTATTCATGAATAAAATGAAATATGTATGGAAAAAAGTAATTCTATTTTCTTTTTATACCAATAAATATTGTAATAATCCACTTAATTGGGGAACTTTTAAATAATTTCCACCAGATATATCACAGCCCTGTTGAAGTAAAGTCAATTCCTGATCTAAACTGCACACATCTAATATTACTCCCTGTATGTTTAAAAAAGAGTAAACCATCAATCTAAAATTCAAATTTTCAGGGATATAAATATTAAATTATAAAAAAAATATGACAAACCATTTTTTGAGCAGTGAAAAATATGTTCATATAATTCATGTATTGTGTAGCTGAATCATTGCTGGCAGTGATTACAAGAATCCTTGGATGTAATTTTTCACCAGCAATTTTGTCCCTCTCTAATCTTGCAATATAGCACAATGCCATGGTTAATGCTCCAGATATTAAACTTTCTCCATTCAATGGTTTACCCATCGAAATTTCATGGACAACTTGTTGCAATTGTTGTCTGACAGTACGTTCAACCATAGTAAATTTTTCATACTGCCCATCAATTTGTCTAATCTCCAATGATTTCTCAAAAGGATATAAGAATTTTGCTCCATGACTGTGACATGCTATCATAGCAAGTTGATTGTTAGAGGATTGCATTAAATGTGCATTGGCAAAAACGATAGTTGAATCGAGACATTGTGTCAGTAGCCTTGTTTCTTGCTTTATAATTCTTTGCACGGGATTTACGTCTAGTATGATTATTAATAAGCTCGTTTCGATTTCTGAAATAAACGAGATAATTCAATTTATGTCATAGCAACTTCATAAAATATTTTACGATTTGAATAAAATAATCTAGATAAAAAAAGCAAACTTAGTGATTTTCTATAGGTTAGATAACCTCTGCGTACCGTTTGACATTTTGAATTTACGTATATCAATTCAGCTATTTCATATAATTACTCAACTTTGTGACAACATTTTTTAACAACTTTTAATTTTTTTTTTACAATTTTCATTTAACGTTTTAAAGAAAAACCACATAACCCTCGTTACACGTCCTATCAGGTTCCTAAGAACCGAGCTACTGACAATTATAACAAACACAACATTCATAAAAAGTTTAGTTTTTTAGAGATATTATAAAAAAAACTAATAAAGAATTCGGTTCTAAATAAATTTATTTATATTTACATTTAACAATAACTACAAAATTCAGTTAACAAAAACATATATGAATAATATAGTAATAGTTTCACAAATGTAATAGAACATAGAAAAATATTGTAACAATGCATGTTACGACAAATGACACTTCTTTTCTGACACAAAACAATCATAACAATGGGACAATGCAAAAAATATGATTAACGACTCTTTCAAACGTTCCCGCGTCATAATTCACAACCGATTGTACACGTGCGCAAATTATCCACCCCAGACCGCGCATGATTGCATACGTCTTGCGGCACGTTAGTAGACGATTGGAGGGAGCGAAACAGAACAAGTGTGAAATATAATCGAGGTCATCGGGGTGTCTTTGAAAGGTTATCGAACGTTGTCTCCTTCAATTTGAAATTGGTCTCATTCGTGCTCTGAAATTCGTTACGAACATGTTGCCACGATTCCTCAAGCCTACGTTGACCGTCGCTCAACAAGGAGCGAAACGGTTATCTACCAGTACTAGGGTAAGCTTTTTCAAGAAAAATTTCAACCTTAACCAAATACCATTTTTGCCAACTGATTTGCTACTACATCCTGTCTCTAATCTTCCTCTGATGTCTCTTAAAATTTGAAATAATTGAGGCTAGTCGATCATACACAGGTATTAATGGTACTACACATCACAATATAGATAACAAGTATAGTTATGCAACCGCGAATATCTTTCGAAATGTTACCGATCATAATGTAATATAACATTATTCGACTCTCATGCATGGAATTATCTAGAGAGTAAACTACCATAAAGTAATTTTACATTGAGATATACACTCTATAGATAGCTTTAGTTTCTGGTCCTTGTTACAGTGCAATGCCAAGGTCGCAGTCATGGGTGCCAGTGGTGGAATCGGTCAGCCGCTATCGCTGCTCCTGAAGCAGTCACCTCTTGTAACCGAATTATCATTGTACGATATCGTGAATACGCCAGGTGTCGCTGCTGATCTGTCGCACATGGACACGGCGGCAAAAGTGAAAGGTTTTACCGGTCCGGATCAGTTGAGGGATTCTGTCAAGGGAGCACAGGTGTGTATTTTAATATATGTTTCAATGAAATAAAATAAAATACAGAATAAAATTGCGAAATTTTATTCACTAAACACGAACGCGTCGATAGTGAGAGACCTTGTGCAGGCTGTGGCAGAAATGTCTCCTAAAGCTCTCATCGCTATTATATCAAATCCAGTTAACAGTACAGTGCCTATTGCTAGTGAAGTTTTGCAGAAAGCTGGTGTATATGATCCCAAGAGACTGTTTGGTGTAACCACTTTGGATATTGTCAGATCTAACGCATTCATCGCCGAAGCTAAAGTAAACACCAAATATATAAATTAATTATACATAACATTTAAAATAAATATATGTATAATATCAATTTTGTTCCAGGGTCTTGACCCACAGAAAACATCAGTCCCAGTCGTTGGAGGACACAGTGGTATCACTATTATCCCATTAATTTCTCAATGCAAACCCTCAGTATCCTTCCCAGATGATCAATTGAAGGCTCTCACTGGAAGAATCCAGGAAGCTGGTACAGAGGTTGTTAAAGCTAAGGCTGGTACAGGATCTGCCACACTTTCTATGGCATATGCTGGTGCTCGATTTGGTATATCCTTGATCAGAGCATTGAATGGAGAACAGGGTATTGTAGAGTGCTCCTATGTGAAATCAGATGTTACCGAGGCTAAATACTTCTCTACGCCAATTCTCTTGGGTGTAAGTATAATTACCAATAGCTTCCTTAAGCATTTAACTATGGATTATTGTATTTTTATATTTGAAATTTTAGAAATCAGGAGTTGAAAAGAATCTTGGCCTTGGTAAACT